CGTGGAAACAAACAAAATTTCCTTTCAACTTTAAAAAAATCACAACAAATAATCAAAGGCAACTGCGGCCATAAATCAATATCAACAAGGGCACTCCCGAGGTACCGCCTCGTAGTCCCAAATCATAAATAAATTTACAATATCTCATTTCTTTATCTCACCGCGGGAGCCTTCACAATTTATTTTTAAAGAAAATATTTTTTCCGAAATAACATCCCCCGTTTTAGCCATCCTTATCATACCGCATGACTTCTAGTAGTTCCCCCTATTAGCCACACGTATCAAGTCACCCTTATCTCACCGCATGCGTTTCAATACCCAGACCTTATACCACCGCATGCGTATTAATATCACAATATATCACAATTTGCACCTCAAGTGCTCAAATAATTTAACTTGCCAAAATAATTCAATAACAATATTTTTCCATAATAAAGAGCTCACGGCTCCATCACAATGAGTACGAAAATCTTACAAAAATATTTAGGAATAAATAATTCAGCAAAATAATATTTCAAAGTCTTTAATACATTGCTTTAATACCAAATTTAAAAATGTCAAATACTTTATATTAATAATATTTAACTTAAAGAAAATCAACTTCAAATAATGCACAGAATAAAGGAAACCAAGTTCCAACTAAACAAAAAAAACAATCAGCAGGAAAAGGTCAAGCAAATTTAAAGTATATAAATCAAATCAATGATGGAGAATATAACAAGATTTAATAATTTAATTAATATGCAACAGTGATCTACACAATTTAAAAACATAATCCTTCACATTTAGTTTGTATACACACTCGTCACCTCGTGTACACGACTTTTATCATATTATAATTAATACCAATCCTAGGGGAAATTTCCCCCACATAAGGTTAGACAAGTCACTTACCTCGACTTGCTCCAATTTAACCAAGTAGTATGTTTTTTCCTCGATTTTCTGACTCTGATCGGCTCGAATCTAGTCATAATTAATTCGATATAATCAACAAAAATTATAGGAATCAATTTCATAAGGAAATACTACATTTTTCAATAAAATCCGAAATTAGCTCAAAAATTGTCTGTGGAGCCCACATCTCGGAATCCGGTGAAACTCATAAAATTCGATAACCCATTCAATTACGAATCCAACCATACCGGTTTTACTCAAATCTAACTCTGAATCGACACCGAAATCTCAAAAATTCATTTCTATGAGATTTCTAAAAGTTTCTCAAAATTTCAATCTCAAAACACTAATTAAATGGTGAAAACAATAATATATTTATGTATATAGACCAAATCCGAGTTAGAATCAATTACCCCCAATGTCTTTCCTTAAAAATCTATCAAAAATCACCTCTGCTCAAGCTCCAATTTGTTAAAAATGACGAATGGGACGAATGCCCTCTTTTATAAATCTGCCCAGGCAGTCTTCAGAACTGGGCCTCGATCGTAACTTCGATCATGGCCCTCGAGCCTAGGCCTCGATCGTGGCTTCGATCACAGGCTCGAGCAGGGACCTCGGTCATGGCCTCGATTATGGCATCGAGCCCGGTCCTTCGATCATGGCCTCGATCCTGGGCCTTCGATCATGGCCTCGATCATGGCATCGAGCGTGAGCCTTCGATCATAGCCTCAATCATGGCATCGAGCCTGGGCCTTCAATCATGGCATCGATCCTCAGCCTCGTCTCTGGATTCGACCCTGGCCGTCGACCCTGGCTCGATATCTGGGCTCGATCACTGCGCAGAATATCCAGCAGAAGAGAAAAATTGCAGCAACGTTTTAAGTCCAAATTTTTATCCGTTAACCATCTGAAACTCACCTGAGGCCCTCGGGACCTCAACCAAATATACCAACAAGTCCTAAAACATCATACGAACTTATTTGAAACCTAAAATCACATAAAACGACGCTAAAAATACGAATCATGCTCGATTTCAAGATTAATGAAACTTAGAATTTTCGACTTCTACATTCGATGTCGAAACCTATCAAATCAAGTCAGATTGACCTCAAATTTTGCACACAAGTCATAAATGACATAACAGAACTGTGAAAATTTTCAGAACTGGATTCTGACCCCGATATCAAAAAGTCAACTCCCGGGTCAAACTTCCAAACTTAAATTCCTATTTTAGCCTTTTCAAGCCTAATTTCACTACGGACTTCCAAATAAAATTTCGATCACGCTCCTAAGTCCAAAATCACCATACGGAGCTGTTGGAATTATCAAAATTCTATTCCGGGGTTGTCTGCATATAATTCGATATCCGGTCACTATTTGGCTTAAGCTTTTAAAACCTTTAATTTTTCATCAAAATTCCATATCTCGTGCTAGGGACCTCGGAATTTAATTACGGGCATACGCCCAAGTCCCAAATCACGATACGGACTTACTAAAACTTTCAAAATACTGATCCGAGTCCGTTTACTCAAAATGTTGACCAAAGTCAACTCAGTTGAGTTTTAAAGCTCTAATTCACATTTTAATCCATTTTTCACATAAAAACTTTTTAAAAAATTTTATGGGATGTGCACGCAAGTCGGGTAATGATAAATAGTACTTTTTGAGGTCTTAGAACATAAAATTAATTATTAAATTTAGAGATGACATTTTGGGTCATCACAATTATATAAAATACTATTTATGAGATTGATAAGGAGAATTGTTTGCCTAAACCAATGAAAATTGTCAAAACTTTGTGTAGATTCAACGACGCTAATTGCCAAGGGTTATTCTTTAAAAACACAATTTCAAAATTGTGATATATATACTATTATCAATTAAAAAAGGTAATCAAATTCATTTTTTTCTGAGAAAATATGAGCAACTTGAGGTGGCATAACAATTAGTAATTAAAATTATATATCAACCATAGAGTGATAAAAATATTAAATTAATAAAATATTAATTTGATATGAGTTAGAATACCTAACCAATTGTATGTGATGAATGCAACGATCCAAACAACCTGTACAACATTCGTAAATGAGTCAATTTTAAACCAATTATCATTCATGAGACATAAACCAATGATGATATATGAGATATTATAAACATTCTAAACAAAAATCATAATTGAAAACTTTCGATTTAGTTGTTTATCAATTATCAATTATCAAATAACAGTTCTAACATCAAAAGCAAAAATTTACCAAAAACGAATACCAACAAAAAGAAGGAAGAAATAAACTAAATGTACATCAGAAGGAGAAGATTTGAGGAACAATCATGTAGCTATTTGTGATGGCAAATTGGAATAGAACATAAGGGAAAATTTTAAAAGATTGATTGGTTTGATACAATCATTCAACTAAGAGTGATAATGCACGAACATCCATTATTAAATGACTTTAAGAATATAGTACAAGATAGAAATGTACCACAAGTGACAAGCAAGTCTGCTATGTAAATGTCAGTTTATGACCAAAAAAAAAGGAAGAATAATAGCTTCTTTTATAGAAGTAGTCAGTGTAAAATTCTAGAAACATAAATTGAATCCAAAACTAAGTAAAGAGACGAAGGGGACCATACGGTCAATAAACTAAGAAGAAATAGAATAAACTAAGTTGAGATGAAATCCAAAACTAATACAAAAGGAATGTAAAGTAAAGACACGAGGACAATCCTAATACGGTCAATAAACTAAGAAGAAATTGAATCCTAAACCAAGACTAAAGAGTCAATGGAAATTGATTAAAACTGATATAAAAGAGACATAAACCGCGTAGGGAAGAATTCCAAACAATGTAAACTCTGCTCATTCTTTTCAAGAAAATAGTTATTAGAATTACATTTATATCCATCATTTAATACGAAGGATAAAAAAAGCGAACGACATTTCGATAGCGTATTCGTGCTTTAATATAGTATAGATAGATAGATAGATATAGATTAAACTTCGAAAGCTTAGCACCCCGTGATTTTCACACAGAGGCGGATCTACTAAGGCCCGTGGGAGTGATACACCACCCGCAAGTTTTGTTCGAAACCTTAACTATATATGTATGCATATCTGTAAAATCTGATAAATATTTCGAGTGCCACCCAAAGTAACAAAAGATACTAAGGTGCTTAGTGGTAAATAGCTGATAAATCCTTCTTGGCAGTGAGTAATCGAACAGTTGAGACAACACTTTTTAAAACCTTTTTAGCTTGCTGCATCACTACGTATTCTTAGTAAATTTTGACTTTAGTGTTCACTTATTTTTCTTTCTTCAATTATATTCTATTCTCCTTATTTTTCTTTATTTAATTATTGTTGACTATGAGCTCATTTGAATTGGCTTATTTTAAATATTTTTAAAGCTAAAACAACTTTTAAGCCATTTTGTAATGTTTGGATAAAGTAAAAAAGTACTTTTAAACACTTGTTTTTAAGCTAAAATGACAAAAATAAGTCAAAAGCTAGAATTCCTAACTTATGATTTTTGGTTTAAAAGTCACTTAAACAAACTCATTCAAACGGCCTCTATATCTTTCTTTGTTAGTAAATCTTGATTTTTTTTTCGGTCTCTTTGTACTATTTGTTTTTTACACCCACAATTAAAACAACATTTCCTTTTCAAAATCCTCGCTCCCATTAGAATCCCAAAGCCAAAATTAATTAAATCGATTAGTTTGGCACCCGGAGGCCGGAGCCTCCAAATCTTGGATCCGTCTTTGTCCCCACGTATCCCACAATTAAGTTATAGTAATTTCTTTTAAAAATTAAGGGCAAATATGCACCTTTCAGATAGTTCAGGGGTGAAGTTGATTTTTCTCCGACTCCCACCACAGGTTAACCTTTCGGATAGTTATAACTTATAAATAAAACTTTTATAATAAATATTAATTATTAATTATTAATTTGATATAAATGATAACTAATCTAACTTAACTATTACTGTCAATTAAAAGAAAGTAGAAGAAAACGAAGGATGAAAAATGAAACACAAAAGAAACACAAGGGGGTGAAGGTGCATACACGTACAAACCACAGCCATTCAGTTAAAGAGTAAAGCCAAATGCAATCTCCAAGTCATCAACAATCTCATCCACTTCTGTCACTTTGCCTGCACCTACAGTAAACACTTCAATACTTCCATTCATCCTTTTACTAACTTCTTCTTCTTCTTCTTCTTCTCACTCTGCATATTCACCCCAACAAACCAACCCCATCTCCAAGTTTACACAGGTGGCATTCAAGAAACAAGAATTCTCATATTTGGTGGGAAATCAGTGGTTTTCTTTACCTTCAGTAGTACTAGTAAGTTTCACATTTTACTTCACTTCTCTTTCACAAATGCTGATAGATATGTATTTGCAGACTATAGTCCTTTTTTCTTTAATGAGACAATTTTTTTAAGCTTAAATGAGTAAAGCAAGGACGCACTTTGATTTTCTTTCCCCTAGCAAACTATAAGTTTAGCTGCATGTTAATCGAATTTGAATATTCGAAGGTTAACTAAGTTAGTTTAACTAGTCTGAGAGATTTAATGATATATATCAAAGTAATTTAATTTGTATGACTTATCAAGCTGTCTGATCATTATTTTTAAAGGTTTAAGGTGTGGATCATGTTTCTTTCCTTTTAGTCGCTTTGCGTCCTTTTAACATATTTCTTTGAGCCGAGGTTCTATCGGAAACAATCCCTCAACCTTCACAAGGTAGGGATAAGGTCTGCGTACACATTACCCTCCCCAGTCCCACTTGTGAGATTACACTGGGTTTTTTGTTGTTGTTGTTGTTGTTGTTGTTGTTGTTGTTGTTGCGTCCTTTTAGCGTAGTAATCTGAATAGGCACAAGACTGAGAAGGTAGTTTGATTTAGCAATGCATACGAAGCTTCAGTGGTAAGAAAACATCCCATTATAGATTAAATTTGGCTTATGTAATGTATTTGAATTCTCGAAGTATAGAAACATTCTTGGCGGTTTTTAAATGGAAGTATGTAATAGGGATGAAGAAAATTGTTTCCCCCCATCTTCTCTTGTCTTTTTTCCATTTTAAAGTAACAGAATACTCTTGGATTGAAACAGATGAATGCATGCCTGATGGAGTAATCTTTTCTATGAGAAAGGGCAGTTGAAGATCTTCAAATAAACCTTTTCATCTTAGAATCCGTTGAACTATCAATAAGTTTCAGCTATGCATCTATTTTCTTACAACTTCTGAAGCTGATCAGCAGCCGGGACATTGAAGAATATCCAGAAAAGCATTTCAGGAATTGGCCTTATTCTATCTCTTTTCGTTCCATTTGAACAAAGGAAGGATCCCGAAGAATCGATCTTTCTTTTCGTTATTATTCTTTCATCTCCTGTGAAGATAGAAACCGATGTGATCTACATTCTTACTAATTATAGGATCTCAGTGACTCTTTACACATAATCTTTTCCTTTCTCCAGAACCTCACCAGAACATGTGTAGAACATTGTCTTCCGTAAATTGTAGAACAGTTTTACCAAAACAAGCGTAGATACAGGAAAAGCAATGAGTCAATTTTCATTTACTTCTCCTTCGAGCTCTAATTTCACTCTCTTCTATCATTCTCAGAACCACAATTCTTCAAAGTTTCATTTTTCCGTCCCCTTCAGAACATCCCAACCATCGTCTTCACATCCTCTTTTACCTCCCTTTTGTTCCCATGAGTCATCTTCCTCATCACCACTTCTTGAAGAGAATCCAGAAACATCAAGATCTTCTTCTAAGTTTGATAGCCAAGATAGACGTTACGCTGATGAAGTTGCTGATGAGATCAGCACTACAAAGAAGTCCTTAGAAGAATTACTTGTGATTCGTAGGCCGGTGAAGGACCCTTATGGGGAAGTTGGTGATGAAAAAGGGGAAGAGATGCGTAACTTTGAGAATTCTCAAGACAGAAATGATCTCTTGGAAGAGCAGCCATCTTCCTCGTCATTTCCACTTGATGATGGACTTAGGAAATTTGCAAAGAAGATGCCAATGTTTGAGCCAAACAGGCTGGAATCAGGTTCTGGAGAGAAGCCACTTAAAGTCAATTTAGACTTAGCTCTATATAGGGCAAAGATTTTGGCTCGAAAGTATCAGTACGCAGATGCAGAGAAAATTTTGCAACAGGTAGCATTCGTCGATCCCAAAAAAAATAAAATTACCATTCCTTGTTATTTTCTCTTGATATCCAGAGGACGCTTCATTATTTGTTAATAATGTTACTGATTTCTGAATATTTTACGCATGGAGTGTATCGATGTCTGGCCAGAAGATGGGAGACCATATGTTGCTTTGGGAAAGATTTTGAGTAAGCAATCAAAATTAAATGAAGCCAGAACTGTTTACGAAAAAGGCTGCCAGGCAACACAAGGAGAAAATCCTTACATTTGGCAGGTTAGTGTTATAACAGTGTTATGAGTGTATTTAGTCTCTTATACTTCCATATTATACGTTAATCTTGAGCTAGAATAGGAATCTGTTGTAAGTTAAAAGTTTCTCTACTAGCATACTGTAATGCATAATTTGATTATCAAGTCCGTCGAATATGTTGTTTAAGCACATAGTTTTTACTTGTGTTTGATAGCAGATTTAGTACTAATGATTTACAACTTAAACAAATATCATATTCCTTGATGGAGTAAAGATCATTTATAGTATATTATGTTCCGTTTCTTAGTGATCTTTAACTTTGTACATTAAAGAAATTTGGGCATGTGGAACAGCTGATTCATATACAAACTTGACAATTTTTTGCAATTATTCACCTTGCAACGGGCAAAATCATGCCTAGTGGCGGAGCGACTCATTAGCAAGGGGAGTCAAGTGACACCCCTTCGTCAAAGAATTACACTGCGTAGATAGGTTAAATTTTTATTTTTTATATATATATACTATATGTCGACTCCCCTTGATTTCTTTGCATGCTTACTTATTTACATTTTGATTCTCCTTAGTGAAAATTCTGGCTCCGCCACTGATCATGTCTAAGGTCGTTTGGTAATGCTTCTCTTAATAAAGTTCAAAATTTCAAATACCGAAGAAGAGAATTTTCATCAGAAATCCTTGACTGTCTCCTAAGTCTTAACATGGATCAGTGGATTGGTCCTTGAGTCTGTTAGGTATTCTTAGTGGATAGAAAGAATTAATTTAAAGAGGATTCAAGGTCAGATTATCCATTTGCAAATGATGTGCCTTCATTGAAAACAATATGACCTACTACATGTCTTCTTGCAACTTATCTTTTGTATCAGAAGTTCACCAAACTTACTCCTTTGGACTAGTGCTGGGCTATTCTGGAAAATAGGATGGGTAATATACGGAGAGCTAGAGAACTATTCGATGCTGCCACAGTTGCTGACAAGAAGCATATTGCAGCCTGGCATGGATGGGCAGTTTTAGAGCTGAAGCAAGGGAATATAAAAAAGGCAAGAAATCTTCTTGGAAAAGGCCTCAAGTTTTGTGGAGGTAACGAGTACGTATACCAAACTCTTGCACTCCTTGAAGCTAAAGCAAAACGATATGAAAGAGCCCGCTATTTGTTCAAACAGGCTACAAAGTGTAACCGAAAAAGTTGTGCTAGTTGGCTGGTAAGAGTTATCCAAAAACTTTAATCCGTCTTGGCTATGGTTCGTAAACATGTCTTTGGTGGATTCCTTATAGTGGTTCTGTACTCTCTTGCGTAGGCATGGGCTCAACTAGAGGCTCAGTTGGAGAATAACCGTGCTGCTAGGCAGCTGTTTGAGGTTTGTATTTTCTGAAGTTGATCTACGTTTCTATCATCATTGAGCATTTCCTATTTATTTGATGCCTTTGTTACTTTTAATTTCAATTTGTTTATTTTTCTTGTATTTGATACTCCTGACAAAGCAGAAAGCAGTTCAGGCCAGTCCAAAAAATCGGTTTGCGTGGCATGTGTGGGGAGTTTTTGAAGCTAATCTTGAAAACATTGACCAAGGAAGGAAACTTCTGACAATAGGGCATATGGTAAATCCTAGAGATCCTGTTCTTCTCCAGTCACTTGCTTTGATAGAATACAAGCACTCCAGTGCAAACCTCGCACGAGTTTTATTCCGGAGGGCATCTGAAATGGATCCAAGGCATCAACCAGTTTGGATTGTAAGACTTTTCTTTTAAATTTTAAATTTTTTCTACAGAAGTTAGAAGTAATCCTACATGTTGTTTCTTTTTCGAATGCTCTTAATTTTCAACCGAATAATCGACTGACCTCCTTTACAACCTTTGTCAAATGAAAGACTCACTAAAAGAAAGAAAGCGCTTAACATGGTATATAGAAGATGAAAGACTTAAAGAGATTACTAAATTGATGAAGCCGACAGAGCTTTTCTATTTGTTTCCATGCAACAGTCTAAGATAGTAAAACTTGTAACTTTGACAACCAAGAAAAAGGAATAATGAACAATTCAATACCTATCCTATGCATTTTTAACAGAGAGTAGTATCAGAAAATCAAGGGAGTTTCCTGGAGTGAGTAATCAATGCAAAATAATAGGGCAACAAGGAAAAGTTGAGTTTGATGAGTGAAACTACAAGTTGATAAGCCTCTATTCATGACCTATCTTTTACCTGTGCTCCATCTTTCTATAGGTTATCTTTAGTGTAGAAAAGAGAGTACGTCGAAGTTGTAGTTTCAAATCCTCTCAAGGATTGTCTTTGTTTGTCAAGATTCACTTAGGAGCCAGCTCCTCTTAATTGCAACTAATTGATTCAATCCAGCTTTCCTTTTCTTTCCCTCTGAATTTTTGTAAGCCGCATTTGTCTATTGTAGTCCTTTAGGAATCAAAGCTTTTCTTTGTAGTTTGTACTGATGCTTCACTCCCCTATTCAGTTAAGGTGGAACGTCTACTGTTTTTCTTTTCCGCTTTTGCTTTTTTCCCTTTCCGATGAGTCCATATTCATATTTTATTTTTCCCTTTTTCTAAGTGGGGGAGAAGTTTACTTCCTCCACAATTATCCATTATCGTCAACATGAATGCGCGCACCAAATGCTGTCTAAACTTGGTACTGATTTAGGCTTGGGGTTGGATGGAGTGGAAAGAAGGGAACGTTTCCACTGCTAGGGAACTATACCAGAGAGCTCTGTCGATCAATTCAACAACTGAAAGTGCTGCCCGCTGTCTTCAGGTAATGTTAATCTCAAATTAATAGTAATTTTCTAGTTTGTTTTTCCTAAAACTCATAGTTCTGGCGTGCATCTTAAACTATGGAGGTTATGTGTCCCATAGGAAATGTACTGAGTTCTTTACTAATTTGATGTGCTTTGTAGGCTTGGGGTGTTTTGGAGCAAAGAGCTGGAAATCTATCAGCTGCTCGAAGATTATTTAGATCTTCTCTGAACATAAACTCTCAGAGCTATATAACATGGATGACATGGGCAAATTTGGAGGAAGATCAAGGTAACTCCGTTCGTGCAGAGGAAATTCGTAACCTCTACTTTCAGCAGGTAAATGAGTATTCCTCATTAATACAAGCGATTTCCTTGAACGAGCACATTTTTAGCAGTGTTCTCAATATTCATTATTTCTGCTTAATCCAACCAATAGATGTCTATGTTTACGCTTTGACAATGGTTGTGGCGTTAATCACCTATCTTAGAAGTAATAAATGGCGTTTAAGCTTCAGAAATAGAGTCATAACAAGAACCAATGAAGCTAGATAAGTTCAGTGAAGACTGAGATATGATCTCTTTTTCCCTGTGTAACAGCGTACTGAAGTTGTCGATGATGAGTCATGGATTATGGGTTTCTTAGATGTCATTGATCCGGCGATTGATAGCATAAAGAGGCTCTTGAATTTGGATCAGAACTCTTATTACAAGGTAAAAGAGTCTTCTAATACTACTGCTGGAGATGACACTGATGGGAGCGCAGAAGAATCAACCGGCTCCTCCTCGACTAACATCAGCACAGAAGAATCGGCCGGTTCCTCCTCGGCTAACAACAAGGACAATAGCATAGATACAGGAAGTGGTTTCGATTTAGATGATTTTATCCGCGAAATGCTGTCTTTGGACCCTTCAAAACTGGAAGTTCAGCTTACTACATCTCTGAAGGACCCTCCTAAGACTATCAGAACTGCTAGTGGGGTGTGGCGGCCAACGAGAAAAACTACCAGAACATCACAAAACCTTTGATTTTATGAAGTGTAGTTGTTCAAATGTATCTTCTTTATATCATAATTGGAATTGCTACATTCATTAGAGTGGTCTAATGAAGAAGTCCCGGACCACGTTTGTAAATTAGTCAGGAAAATTGAGAAGAATTGTATAATTTGATCGAGAGAAATGCAGTTCAAATTACCTAGAAATACATCTACACATAATATGAGAAGCATTGTATAATATGTTTTGTCAGAAATGCAGTTCATATTACAATAATATGCCGTCAAATCTTTTTATAACAGTCTTGTTTGTTCCGATATTTTTTGGTTGCTATAGTGAAGTGTTGTTATATATAGATGATATATATTATAACATAACATAAATATCGGTTCCGAGAAAAAATTGACTTTTATAGTTAATGACTGTTTTATAGAGATACTGTTATAAAGATGTATCACTATACTATAGGTGACAAAGGGGTGGGCCGGGCCGGGTTGATTAAAAAAGTGACCGGTCGGTCACCAATCCGGGCCGGTTACAGGTTTTTCCAAACCGGGCTTAACGGGTCCGGGACCATCCGGTCAAATATTGAACCGGAACGGTTCCGGGCCTAAGGGGCCGGGCCGAGTTTATTTATTTATTTATTTATTTTGTATAACAATCGTGAACTTTATAAAATTAAAAAAAAATCAAAAAATAGCCATTGAACCGGGTCGGGGCGGTCCGGTTAACTGGTTCCCATGTGACTTGACCATAACGGGTCGTTTCGGTCCGGTTAACCGGTACCAAAAAACTACTCGGCACATTCCGGTTCCCGTCCCAATCCAGCCCTTCCCGGCCCTTTACTATCGAGCCGGTCCGGAACCGGGCCAGCCCGGCCCGCTTGACAGCTTTAGACTATACCTAGCAATATCATTTACACTTATTATCTTCTTTGACAATTTATATAATGTGTTTCTTGAAACTAAACCCAAATAGAGGAATAAAACAAATGATATGCGTAGATGGACTATCCCTTTGTTATGGCATGTTCCTTAGATCAGAATATTGTTAGCTCTTTGATTGGGATACTATTACAATATAAAAAGATTAATTATTACACAATATTTTTTTGAATGTTAATTATTTATACAACATTTTTTTACCATAGAATTAAGACTTCCGAGTAAACAAGGAGGAGAAGAGAGGAAAGAATAATTTAATTTGTCCCATCGTCCACAGTAGAAAAAGATTTACTAACAAATTATTGATAAAATGGTAGTAACATTATTTTAAATCCAAAGGATATGGGTAGATATCACATAAAGGAAGAAAACTTTTTGAAGCCACAAATTTCACTCTCAATTTGTGCAATAGGATTGATGTTTCTTTCAATTTTATAACATTGTTCCTTTTGAAGTCCTTACAAAATATTATTGGGACCAAAGGTGAAGAAATACATTCTTTTAATGAGGTAATAAGGTTAGATATGGACAAAGGATTTCTAGTCATTGGCAGTCCAATGGCAGGGAGTCTCAGTGACAAGGTGGCAATTTTTATGGATAGCAATAACTGTGACCTGACCAATTTATATGGACCTTTAAAATTTAACAGAAGAAAAATAAGAAAAGAAACATAAAATAACAAAAACAACTCTTTGACAACAAAAGAAAAAGAATTTTTCTTTATTGATCACATAAAACTATAAATGTGAATTACCATTTAAATGATAATCATATTTCACTTTCGAGAGTCAAACAAAAAGAGTCTGAATTAGATTTCATACGACATATCAATATTTCTTTATGTATAATTAATATTTCAAGAAAATAAAAATAAAATCTTGATTTTTTCAACATTGTTTCTCAAATCTCCAAGTTTTATTTTAAAAAGTCAGAGTTCTTAATGTTAGATGTCACTCAAAAATTTGGTCTCATAGACATTCAAAACAAAATTACAAGGTCTCTTCACATGATTTAGCATATAATTCAGCTAAAATAAAACAGAAGTATAATAATACGAATTTCTAAAAATAGAGACTGCCTTGAATAAATTAAGGTTTTAATTTATATACAGTGACAAGAACTTTTACACTATCAATATAATTTGCCTTGTCCTAGTAGGTTATTTGCCTTATTTTTCATGTTCCTAATTTTACTTGTTAAAGATAATTACTAGCAATTATCTTTTAAGTGATAATGTAAAGTTGTTTACGCTTTTGGTGTTTAGAAGTTAAACTCATTACAACAACAACAATAACAACGAACACAACGTAATTCTACAAGTGGGGTCTGGGAAGGCTAATGCGTACGCAGACTTTATCCTTACTTTAAAAAGGTAGAGAGTTTATTTCCGATAGACCTCGGCTCAAGAAGTTAAACTCATTTATTAAAAAAGTGAGAAACATATACGCATCTAGATTAGTCGGACCAATAGATTCCGGATACTTGAAAAAATAAAAGGTCTAGCACATAAGGAAAAGAACATGCAAGTAGGCAACCACAGCCATACAATGAGTGAGAGGCTATCTATCTGCTATGATCCATAATCTCATCCATTTTCTTCCCTCCATCCATTTTGTCCTACTCATCCCCTTATACCTTCCATATTTCTTAAACTTCCACACCAAATACCACATTCTTCTGCTGCATTTCTAAAAAGAACAATGGCTTCGGCTGCTCTCACAGTAGCCAACTCTTCTCTCCAGGTCCTTCTTTCACTTACTCATATAATTAATATTGTTCCTTTTTTCTTGTTATTGTCTGCCGGTAACAGCTTCTCTACCTTCACAAAGGAGGGGGTAAGGTGTGCGTATACACTGTACCCTCCCGAGACACCACTTTGTGGGATTGCGCTGGTTTTTTTTTTTGATTGCGCTGGTTTTTTTTTTTTTTTGTTGTTGTTTCTTGTTATTAACTTGATCAATGAACATTTTTGTTGAGTTCATGTTTGTTGTATTGATGAAAATGCAGGTCAGCAACAAAGGATTCTCTGAATTCTCAGGGCTGCGTACCTCATCAGCTATTCCATTTGGAAGAAAAACTAATGATGACTTGCTCTCTGTTGTTGCTTTCCAAACCTCTGTTGTGAGTACTATTATTGCATTTTTATCTTTGAATGATTGAGTTTAATAACTTATTCAAGCATAACGATATCAGATAAATTATAAGATAAGTACAAGCATATATGACAAGCATTAATTGGTAACTTAACAACCGTGGTAACTAATCTGCTATCACATGTTAAACTATAATAATAGTGTAACACAGTGTATATTACTTAAATCCAATAAAATAAGAGAAAGAAGAAGAAAATAAGAATATGTATACTTCATGTCTATTGTGATTAAGGAATAAGTCTCTAACTGTTAGTCTTCTTGATAGTACTTGAAATCCAATGGCTAAGTAGAGCTGAAAAGTTTGAGGTACTTCTATATTCTTGCTAATGCTCAAGTAAGTGCAATTCTTGTGCTCTAATGTTAGCAAAGAGAGTTAGAAATAGATCTTTAGAAGAAAAAGAAAATGGCCCCTCACAAAATCTTGATGCAAATTGGTAATTGCATAAGTTTGAAGGAAGAACAGACACTACTCTTAAAGAGAATTTAAACCACATAAATTAATGATAACATTGTATAACATCTAAATTGTACTTCCACAATTTTGATTTTTGGTCGTTGTATAACAAGATATTTGCTTGTCATTGCCCCTCCTTTTATCTTTCATGAGCCGAGAGTCTTCGGAAAACAGTCTCTCTACCTTCTAAAGGTAGGGGTAAGGTCTGCGTACACACTACCTTTCCCGGACCCCACTTGTGGGAATTCACTGTGTTTTTTGTTGTTGTTGTTGTTATTGTTGTTGTTGTTGTTATTGTATAACAAGTGATTTCTTGTGATAATTACATGGAATTGGATTTATAAACTGTAGATTGGAGGAGGGAACAACAAGAGGGGAGTAGTGGAGGCCAAGTTGAAAGTGGCCATCAATGGATTTGGAAGAATTGGAAGGAATTTCTTGAGGTGTTGGCATGGTAGGAAAGACTCTCCCCTTGATGTCATTGCCATCAATGACACTGGTGGTGTCAAGCAAGCCTCTCACCTTCTCAAATATGACTCCACCCTTGGCATCTTTGATGCTGACGTCAAGCCTGTCGGCACTGACGGCATCTCCGTCGACGGAAAAGTCATCCAAGTCGTCTCCAACCGCAACCCCGTCAACCTCCCCTGGGGGTAAGTTCTTTCATACTAACATGTAATGAAAGGATTTAAGTTATATACATTCATATATATATATTGTAAGGAAATTTATATCTTAACGGTAACTTAACCGGCTATAGTAAGTTAGTTATCCTCTTTTCTCGAGTTAAAAAAATTTACCTTACTATTTGTTGTCATCTATAATTGGTTTCTAAGTATGGATAGTGTAAAAGATTCATTATACTTTCAATGTACAAAAATTTGAATTATCACAAAATAGCAATCCATTTGTTCTTAGTGTGATTAATGCAATATGTGTGGTCCAAGCACAACTTGGACGAGCATTGCAAGTGATTGTCATTATGCTGAGAACAAAAAACAAAAATATGAAACAGTAGTTCTAAGTTTTAACATTGTCCAACAGTGAGTAGCTAGAAATGAATCATGATAACATGCTTAACTTAGCTCATGTACTGTCTAGTATAATACTAGCTTGTGATATCTGGTCAACCTCTAACAGCTACTAAAGGGCAGTCCGTTGCACTAAGCTCCCGCTATGCGCGGGGTCCGGGGAGGGACCGGACCACAAGGGTCTATTGTACGCAGCCTTACCCTTTCTGCAAGATATTGTTTCCACGGCTTGAACCCGTGACCTCCTGGTTACATGGCAACAACTTACCAGTTACGCCAAGGCTCCCCTTCAACCTCTAACAGCTACTAATGTTCAAAATGTTTGTGTAATGTGTTCAGAGATCTTGGGATTGACTTGGTAATAGAAGGTACCGGAGTGTTTGTCGACAGAGAAGGTGCCGGAAAACACATCCAGGCCGGAGCCAAGAAGGTGCTCATCACCGCTCCCGGAAAAGGTGACATCCCCACATATGTTGTTGGTGTCAATGCTGATCTCTACAACCCTGATGAACCAATCATCAGCAATGCCTCTTGCACCACCAACTGCCTTGCTCCTTTTGTCAAGGTTCTTGACCAAAAATTCGGTAATACACCTTTATCTAGTTATACACGAGCATTACTGTCTTTTACTGTCAGTGCATATAACTTAAATTCATAAACTAATATTTTTTCTTGCATAGGCATTATCAAGGGAACCATGACAACTACTCACTCTTACACTGGTGACCAAAGGCTTCTTGATGCGAGCCACAGGGACCTTAGACGTGCACGAGCTGCAGCCCTCAACATAGTTCCAACCTCAACTGGTGCTGCTAAGGCCGTGGCCCTTGTCCTCCCAAGCCTTAAGGGGAAGCTCAACGGCATTGCCCTCCGTGTGCCAACCCCTAACGTCTCTGTCGTGGACCTTGTCGTTCAAGTCACCAAGAAGACATTTGCTGAGGAAGTGAATGCTGCATTTAGGGAGGCTGCTGACAAGGAGCTCAAAGGCATTCTCGATGTCTGCGATGAACCACTCGTGTCGGTCGACTTCCGGTGCAGTGATGTGTCATCAACTGTTGATGCTTCACTTACTATGGTCATGGGAGATGACATGGTTAAGGTTATTGCTTGGTATGACAATGAATGGGGTTACTCACAGAGGGTGGTGGATCTTGCAGACATTGTTGCAAACCAGTGGAAATGAAATATGAAATAACAGTACTGCTAAATAGTTGCTTAAAATTTTTCCACTGCTTGTAGATTATTATTCCTTTTTGAAAATTGTAATGAGAACCAAAACAATTTTCCACCTTGTGAAATCTCAGCTTCAATAAAAGTTTCCTTCTTGTCTTTATACAATCTGATTTTGATTCTGCTTATACTTATTACAAGATATTCTGTAGTTCTAACATCATGCAATCAGGTGATGAATAGCCTAAGTACTGAAGAAGAAACTTATTATACTCATTGGTAACAACAACAAAGACACAGTTAACTTATAACTAGAAAAGAAAAGAAGATGTTTTCAGCATGCTCCTGAACTTTTTTCTGATTTCAGAAGAGCATCTCTACCTCTTGCCTATCTCACCTCCTTCCTTCAGCTGGGTGAGCCTTCGCTTTTTGGATCGTCTTCTGCCCCACTTGAGGAGGTCAATCTTAAGTGTTGGAAGCTACTGCTAAGGGACTCCCACTCATCTAGAAAGGATAGGCAATTGAGAGAGAAGTTGCTTCACACCTGGCCATATCGAGGGAATGAAAATGAACGGGGCAGCCCGGTGCACTAAGCTCCTGCTATACGTGGGGAACCGGGAAGGGCCGAACCACAAGGGTCTATTGTACTCAGCCTTACCCTGCATTTCTACCAGAGGCTGTTTACACGGCTCGAACCCTGGTCACATGACAGCATCTCTGATAGAGTACAATTTAGAAACAGTTTCAGTGATGTTCATTCTTTCAGCTCCAGAATATGCCGAGCAAGCAACCCCAACTTGAAGTATAGAAACCAGACACTCCTTATTCTGGTACATACTTGTGTTTTGACCTCCATTCTCTTCATTACTTCCGGAAATAAGGGATGGTTCTATGACTTCTGTAGCTCCATTAAGCAACGCATACTTAGCAAAACTCGGCAGGTCTAAACCATCCCTAAACATTCCATCTGTTGGCCTTTTTCCTGTGAACATTTCAAGCAAGAGGATTCCGAAGCTGTATACATCACCACAAGTCGATAGCTCGCTGCCCATCCCATATTCTACAATTCACAAAACAAAATAAGGAACTTTAGTTTCTTAATAGGAGCATAACTTAGTAGGACTTGATTTTATAAAAGTAAATAGTTTGCAACAAGTTTCTTGTTGTAGAGAAAAACAATGAATGAGAGAAACAGTTACCTGGAGCAGTGTAACCAATAGTTCCTCTAACAAGACTAGAGCTTCCCTCTGAAACAGAAGAATTTTGTGCAGTTGGTTGAAGGAATTTTGCCAAACCAAAATCACCAATATGACCAACCAATCTATCGTCTAGAAGAATGTTGCTTGGCTTGAGATCACAGTGAATTATCGGAGTCTCACAGTGGTGATGAAGATAATCGATTGCAGAAGCAACATCAATAGCAATGTTGAGCCTTTGAAGAATATTCAACTTTTTTGATTCTGCCAGATTTGCATCTTCACTTGGACTCGGATGCAACCAGTCTTCGAGGCTGCCATTAGCCATAAACTCGTAAACCAAAGCCTTGAATTCATTCCCTTGATAGTCAGTTCCTGAACAAGCTGTGAGAACCTTGACCAAATTCCGATGTCTTATGTTTCTCAAGACTTCACATTCAGCCATAAAGCTTTTGGAAGCTCCATGTCGCGAGAGGTTTAATACTTTCACTGCGACGACTATTCCTCCATCAAGAGTTCCTTTATACACAGATCCATAGCTACCAGCACCAATCAAGTTGTCTTCAGAGAATCCATTAGTAGCTTGAAGCAAACTTTGGTAAGAAACATTTATGAGAGATTCGCCAAATGAGCTCAAAACAGGCCCCTTTTTGGGTTTCTTGAACAAGAAAAAAAATAGTAAAGTGACTAGAATGGTAAGTCCTAGTATACCAACGACAATAGAGATCACAATCTTGAGGATAAACCTCGAACCAAGTTTTTTTGATCTTTTGATGTCGCACTCCGGAAGATGTATGTTAGGCACACCCCCACAAAGTTTTGGATTTCCAATTACTGATATTACACTTGCATTCTTAAAGATGCCTTCATTTGGTAACATTCCTTCGAAACCATTGAACGACAAATTAAGGAGTTGAAACTTAAAATCTTCCAAGTAATTTGGTACTTGACCAGACAAGTTATTCCTAGAAAGGTCTAAAACATGGAGACCTCTCAAAGAACTGAAAGAAGGTGGAATAATTCCTTGAAAAGAGTTTCCTTTCATGTCTAAGACTTCAAGTCTCACACAGCTACCAATGGTACTTGGTATTTTGCCAGTCAAGTTGTTCTCGGAAACATTGAGATACTCGAGATTTCTCATGTTTCCAGCTTCGAGAGGAATGAAACCATCTAANTCCTTTCATGTCTAAGACTTCAAGTCTCACACAGCTACCAATGGTACTTGGGATTTTGCCAGTCAAATTGTTCTCGGAAACATTGAGATATTCGAGATTTCTCATGTGTCCAGCTTCGAGAGGAATGAAACCATCTAGATGGTTCTCAGAAATATCTACAGCAACTAAGGAAGAGAGAGCAAAAAGTTCCTTAGGTATTTGTCCTAACAGGTTATTTTGAGCAACATATATTTCAATCAAATTATTGCAATTTCCTAAACTTGCTGGTATCTCACCCGTAAGATCATTATCGTGAAAAAGAAGGATGGTTACTACACTCAGATTTCCTAGAGATGATGGAATATTCCCAGAAAATCTATTCTGAGACAAATCCAAAATCTGCAAGTTTTTAACTTTTCCAAGATTGGTTGGAATAGTACCAGTGAGTAAGTTTTCCCTCACCTGAAATTCTTCCAAGTTGATGAAATTTCCAATCTCAGCCGGTATGTTACCACGTATTTTGTTGTATGACAACTGCACAACCTGAAGCTCATTTGAGAGATTTCGGAAGGATAAAGGCAGAATTCCTCCAAAACTATTGAACTGCATCTCCAAAATTCTGAAACTAGATGCATTTGTCAAAGAGGAGATGAAACTTAAGTCATCTAGTTCTCCAGTTCCAAGATAATTCCCTGGAATGGTTAACTGTTGAAGCTCATTCAGGTTTTCAAGACTTGGTACACTTCCTGTAAGTTGATTACCTCCCGCAAGAAAATACACTAACTTTGATGAATTGGACAATGAAGATGGTATTGATCCAGAAATATTGTTCCCACCAATTATAAATAGTTCAAGATTCGGGAGGGTGATTCCCAAACTTGAAGGAAGAGTACCTTGAATTTGGTTTATTCCAACATCAAATGTTGTCATGGAAGAGATGTTGAAGATTGCATAAGGAATGGTACCTGTCAAATTGTTTGCAGCTATTCCTAAACTTTTTAAGTTTTTTAGCTGCCCGAGTGAGTCAGGGATTTTCCCTTGAAGATTATTCAATGGTGCATAGAATCCTTTCAACGATGTTAAGTTTCCAAAAGAAGAAGGGATTTCACCTGTCAAGTTGTTTCGAGTGAGTAAAAAGTATTCGAGTTTGGACAATGAGCCTAGCTGGGGAGGAAGACTTCCGACTAACTTGTTACCTCCAAGGACAAGAGATACAAGATTTGTGCACCTTGATAAATTTGAAGGAATATCACCATGAAATGAGTTGTTGCCAAGATTCAATCGTTGTAGCCTTCTCAAACGACCTATCTCCGAGGGGATTTCACCACGGAAGCTATTGTTTGACAGGTATAGAGACCTGAGAAAACTCATGTTGCCAATAAAGGGCGACAAGGGACCATCTAGATTTTGGTTCGCGAGGTTTAGTTGAATGACTCTCATGTGTTTACGTCCACAAGTAATACCAGGCCACTGGCAAAAGTGTGTGGATACATTCCATGGTTTCATATATCCAAAAGGATCCTTTATTGCTCTCCTGAATACAAGTAGTGCTTGTTGGTCTGTGTCATTGCCATGACACAATGCCACAGAAATACAAAGAAAACTTGTAATGAAGAATAGAAGGGAAAATTTACTAGTTACTGACTGATAGAAGGAGAACAATGCTGAATCCATATGCGAATGCCAAAGCATAACAAATTTGGTGGTGTTTTTCTCTCTGAACACTTGAGAATAAATAGAGGAGGCTAGCAAGCTACACAGCTTAGCATGGAGTCCATTACTTAAATGGTCGCTCAACTATCTGAAATTATCAAGTAAAGTCATCTTTTTTTCGTTTGTAAGTCTCTTAACTTTGCCTATAGCACTCAGAAGTTCACTTAATAAAAAAAAATTATTCTATAGGTAAGTTCATAATATATTAAAAAGAAAATAAATTATAATATTAAAAAGTTAAAAAAATAAAAAGAAGACAAGTAATTTAGAGGGTAAAATAGGTATTTGGCAATCAAAAGTTTGAGAAATTTAGTTGAGGACCTTATGAGTGCTATAGGCATAGTTAAGTGATTTTCCTGTTACAAACGAAAGAAAGATGACTTTAGTAGGTAATTTCGGATAGTTCAGGAGTAATGCACTCCTTAGCATGAAATAAATGATGTTATTAGAGGCAATTGCAGACCGGTCATATTGTAACTTACAGATGCATAAATGACCAACTGTATTTCTTCTGTTGACTATGGTGTAATTCCCAAAGTCAAGCTATTAGAATCTGCTAAAACTTGTTTTCAACTTGTTTTAAAAAAGTTTAACTTGATTATTACTTAACTAATGATAAGTTGACTATGATGTAATTCCCAAAGTCAAGCTATTAGAATCTGCTAAAACTTGTTTTCAACTTGTTTTAAAAAAGTTTAACTTGATTATTACTTAACTAATGATAAGTTGACTATGATGTAATTCCCAAAGTCAAGCTATTAGAATCTGCTAAAACTTGTTTTCAACTTGTTTTAAAAAAGTTTAACTTGATTATTACTTAACTAATGATAAGTTGACTATGATGTAATTCCCAAAGTCAAGCTTTCATAATCTGCTAAAACTTGTACTCAACCTTGTTTTAAGTAGTTTAACTTGATTATCACTTTTTAAATTGGTCAAACACTAAGCTCTATACAATACATATGCATAAATGGACAGCTGATATTGTTATTTTATAGAGCTATTTGTACTTAATAAACATGGATTAGTTTAACAACAACTCCTTTTTTATTACTTGTACTGTAAACAAAGAACACTATAGCAGAGTGTGAGGATTGTCTAAACACCTTTTTTTGTTGGGTTTTTTTCACTTTTAGTACGCGCCAAAAACTATTTACACTCGCTAGCCGAAAAAATGTATAAAATTTGTATTATCTTTGTATATAACATACAGAATGTATATATATATACAAAAAATATACAATTTTTCGGCTATTTGAGAGCGGCTATATAGTATCATTTTCCCTTTTTTGTTCTCTATGATTTGGCCTTTTTCAGATTTGTTAAGTTCAAAATCTCTCTCTATTTCCTCTTATCTCAGTTTCTCCAAATTCTTACTTCAATGAGTGACGCACTGTCTCATTTTGTTTTTTGGTAATAATTCTTATATCCTATTTATTATTAATGTAAAAGTACTTTGCCCCTTTTTAATATTAAGCTCTTCTAATAAATAATTTATCATAATGTCATTATTAATTAATAAATGAGACCTAAGGAGAGGTCTATGTTTTTTGTTCTCCTTTTCTTCCTCTTTTTTTGTTCAGTTTTAGTGATTTCTGTTTTCTGTTGATTTTTTTTTTAATCTAAAAATGATATCCAGAAACTGAATTTCCATGGTAAGAATCTGATAGATTTTCTCTGTTCCCGAATTACGGGATCACTTTTAGCGCCAAAGATAGAGATACTAGAAGGAAATATCAAAATTAATCTGAACATGAGATATCCTCAGGGGCGGAGGGAGTGTAGAAGATACGAGTTCGGCCGAACCCGGTAACTTTGGTCCAAATCATATATTTTTTTAAAGAAATTTATTAAATATGTACAAATTATTAATTTAGAATCTACTAACTTTAAAAGATTTGGAATCCCGAATCCATATGTTTTAAATCCTGGCTCCGCTTCTCGATATCCTTTATCCTAATTCCTAACAATAATTAGATTTAACAATTGGGTTTGGTAACAAGTTGTAATGTATGAATTAATAATACAAGAAGTGTAATGTGGGAGTTATGTGGGAGTAAATAGATTTATCCTTATTGAATGTTTAGTTTGTATATTACAAATTAATATATGATATATAATTTAAATTATTTAAATACTTTTTAAACAAAATAGAAATTTTCTTACGAGTATAAGATGTTGGTTCAGGCCCTGGACCGGCCCGGGACCGCGGGCCAAACGGCTAAACGGGCCAGGACCGTTTGGCCCAGTTTTAGCGGGCCTGGTCAGG